ATAGCTAACACAATTAAATTATTTGTTTCAAAAAGTAACATAGATATTAATATTAATTTTATTTATGGTGTTATGTTAGACCTCTAAAAATTTTCCTTATTTATTTTGTGTCATTTTTTCTGTCTTTAATTCTTTTTTATTTCATATTTGAATTTAAATTACATTACTTTTTCTGATTGAAAGTTGATATGTTAGAATACGTTCCGCAAATAATGCGAAATTCCAAAAATTTCAACTTATTACTTTTGTCACGGAAGTGTTATATGTTCTTATGTAAAAAAAATTCTACTGGGATATACAATTCATATGCGACATATTTCATTAATGTTTGTTTCTCTTTTTTTTACTAAAGATACTTCAATAATTTTTATTGCATCAAAACTAATGATCTAGCTTTTTTTATGTAAATTCAAATTATGAGAATATCGTGTGTGTGTGTGTGTGTGTGTGTGTGTGTGTGTGTGTGTGTGTGTGTGTGTGTGTGTGTGTGTGTGCGCGCGCGTGCGTGCGTGCGTGTGTGTATATTGTATATATATGTATATAATAATATACATACATATATATTATTATTATTACATAAAATTAAATAATTAAGCCTAAACAATTAAAAAAAGATATTAATATACAGACGTTACTAGGGGAGCTATACGAAAAATTTAAAGGCAGCAACATCTTTTTATAAAAGTAATTGGAATTATAGAGAGAAAGGAGGAAGAAGAGGAAAAGAAGAAGGAAAAGAAGGAGGGTGAAGGAGAAAGAGAGAGAGAGAGAGAGAGAGAGAGAGAAAATCATTGAAATTGTTGTATATGAGAGAAAAATAAATACGTTATTTCCATATATTCTAGGTCGATTTCGGCGACGTTTTCATACCGCCTGACTTGAAGGTACCGAAATTGCAAGTACTTCCTGAATTTTCGAGATTGGCGCACGGCCTCCGCAGTGGCAACATCAGTATTCTAGACAGTAAAACGATCTACATTCCAAATTTGCATTACGACGGTGGCGGACCAGACGCTTACTTCTGGGTAGGCAATGGCTCCGAACCTAGCCATTTTGGTATCAAAGTCCCTAATGAACAGGGCAGGTCAGTTGAAACATAATCATTGTAAAATAATGAATTAAATAATTTTCATAAAAATTTATATTATAATTTTTTTATACAAAAATTAAAATTATACAAATAATTATATGAGAAATAAATAAGTATCAAAAATAATATAATTTATTTTGAAATAAATTCTCTTCATTCTTTTGAAGTTTTCATATTTTAATAATTATGTAAGTATTTTTTAAGATACAAATTTTATTTTCTTCATTTATGTATATATATACTTTAAGTAATTACTTATTTGATTGTGAAAACTATAATGTTTGCAAAAATCCAGAATTCTTAAGAGTTATTATGCAATAAGGTTTCTAATTATTTTCTAGAGAAAAAAAATCAATGTTTAAAAAAATTTTTGAAATATTTATATAATTCTAGAAAAGTCATATTTGTAATTTTGTATTGCTGACGGTAAATTTCTTTTAAAAAAACATTATTTTATTTATAAAATCTTTATCGTAAAACACATAATATTTTATTAAGGTGCACATTAACTTAGTCATATTTTAATATTTTTAAATGAAAATTTAGATATTTCTAATTCTCTATAGTCTCCCAAATTTTTCAAATTTTTGTTTTAATTTTATTTTTATAAAATAAGGATTAAGTGGATTTTAATAAAAAATGCCCATTTCTTTTTTAAAATGACTTAAAAAAATAGATTTTTAAAATAAAAAATTTTGCTCAAAAGCAAAATGGATACCGTAACATTTCCGCATAAAAAATGAAAAATGAATTTCCTTTTATTATACAGAATGTTTCATAATTATCGTTTTCTTCTTAAGAACCGTAGTTTTGAAATAATTTTGAGACGAAAATGTTCTAATACAAAAATGTCAAGGTTACAATAATTTTTGAATTATAATTAATTAAAGATATGTGTAATTCAAAAACTATTACATCATCGATATTTTCGTTTTAGGATTTTTATCTTAGAATATTCAAAAGAACCCAGAAATAATAATAAAGACTATAAAAGTAAAATGATGTTTTACTTATAAGCATTTAAAGTTAACTTATAATTCCAAAAATTATTGTAGTCTCGACATTTTCGTAATAGGATTTTCGTCTCAAAATTACTTCAAGAATGTGTCCTTAAGAGGAAATGCAATTGTCAGACATCCTGTACATTGTTACATATAATTACATATATAAATTACATATATAAAATTACAATTATATATATAAAATTCAAACAAATTTGTTTAGTAATTTTTTTAAATAAGTTTCCGAATACCGTCTGTTTTTTTATTTAAAAAGATAATTTGCTTTCTTAATATAAAACGTTTTATTCAATTTAATGAGACGATTATTAATCTTATCTGATCCACCGACAGTTTGGTACCATTAAGAGGGTACCAAGGAGAGGACATTGAAATCGTCTTACCGGGGAACTTGACGGTGTACGACATCAACTGGCTCGCGGTTTGGTGCGTTGAATACAGACACAATTTCGGGCATGTTCTAATTCCAAAGGACCTCGATGTTCCACCGGCTCTTGGCCAAACGAAAATTACGGTAAACCAAAATGAGTTCTCCAATCTGCCGGTCTGATACGATCCAAACTTTCGTGCCTTATGTACCCTCATTAACGTTTACTGTGAAATAATAATGTACTCTACTTTACTCTTTGATATACACGATGAAAAGCTTTGCTTTAATAGAGATGAATTGAATGTACTGTTTAAGAGGGACGTTTGTGTCTTTATATGACAAAATATATGTAGTTGTTAATGTTTTAGATTTAATAGAAATTGTTCCAGTAAATCTTGCTTTAATTATTTTTGAGCAACAATATTTTCTTAAAAACTATAATTAAAAACAAGATAAATTTTATCTCGAAAAGATAATCTTCTCAATCCTGTCTTTCTATGAAACTATTAGTACATTTTCCAGTAAGCATCAATTAGTAGTTAATAACATAACATTAATGTTATCCATATAACATGTATGTCTAAAGAATCTTTATGCCTTTTAGATATCTTTTAGATATATATAAAAGTCGTATTTATGATATGTCTTTACAAAGTTTTTAGATACGCATATTGTTTGGATAATTTATTGTTATTATAATTGATGTTTACTGGGTTGTCGTTTAAATTCACTGCATATTTTTTCTTCTTAATAACGTTGTTATTTTCAAATGGAATAGCCACCATGGTGGTACAATCCAGTAAGTACAACGCGATCGATGCACGATTTTGTCGCATGGACGATAATCTCTCGTAGTGAGGTCACAGATGCGAGCTTTATTTTTTCAGACGAGCAGCACACCGGCACCTAGGCAGGTGACCAATTGCAAAGAAATGTTGGATGGCCGTGTTCAAGTGCAGTGGCAGCTACAGGGCGAGGACGTGCAGATTCGGATCTCAGGACGCATTGAGGAAGATCAATATGTGGCATTTGGATTGTCAGGTCGGGATGGCAAAGCCGAGATGATCGGCGGCGACGTCGTCGTGATCGGATACAATAATAAAACTGGCAAGTTTATCGCCGAGGATTACTACATGACGGACATATCTCAGTGTGATGGCAAGAGAGGTGTATGCCCGGATCAGAGGATCGGTGGAAGGAACGATGCAATACTTGTACATGGGGAAAGACAGAATGGCATAACAACGGGTACGTCTTTATCCAAACAGAACAAAAAGTCATAAAAATGGTTAAAATGTTTTTAAAACGATTAAAATCACTCTTTGATCACGTCACAATTCTTGCATATTTTAATGTTATTATAAGGTTATTGTGAGATAATTTGCATATTGAATAAAATATATAAAACATCTTTTCGATATCTTATGCAATATAAAATGTTATCTAGATTATGATCTATTGTTTTACTTGAATGTCCTATATACATTATGAACGTGACAGCGACGGAAGAAATACATGGCTAATTGCTTTATTCCCTAGCAATTCCTTAGCAATTTTACTCTTCATATCACTTACAATTAGACAATGTTAGTCTTATGAAAATGCAGTTGCTTATAGTTATACAACTATAATTATATGTATAAATCAGTTATATAAAAAAAATTTATGAATAATTTTTTTATACAATAATTTCATTATATTTAATAAGTAATTAGAGTACAAAAT